CTGTCATAAAGGGGGTTACACATGTAGTAAAGGGGTGTTACACTTATGTTTTTAATAGTGAATGCTGTAATTAATTTATACTTTCTACCATCAAAATTGGAATAATTTTGACCATCAAAATCACCAAACCAATTTGGGCTGCATGTATAATTCTGACTAAATCTTGAGTACAATCTATATTTGCAATTACACCAACAGTTCCATTACAAATTCCTTTTTCAACCATATTATTATTAAGGTACATTACACATGCACCTTGTTATAGAATAAAATTATGTCATTCTTTTGTTTTTCTTTAGATCTTGAACTTCTTTTATTTACATTAATTATTTCATTTGATGCTAAATCAGAAAGTTTAATTTTTTTTTTGCATTTGACAATTGTACTTGTTGTTTAACAATTGATTAGTTGGTTGACTGGGAAGTTTGGTACTTTGTTGGAGTTTGGAGTTCAAGTTCTTGTTGAGGTTTAGATTGTTGAAATTCAGGTTCCTGCTAGAATTGTTGAGGTTGTTGTTAAAGTGAAGGTTGATTGTTTGTTTGATTAGTCAATTGAAATTGTTATTGAGTAGATTGGTTATTAGGTAATTGATTTTGATGATTATTTTGATTAGGTAATTGTATTTGTTGTCAATTTTTTTCTTGAAAAAAAAATTATTTAGCCAAGTTTGTTCTTTGTGGCTGATGAGAAGATGAAGGTGTTGATTAAAATTCATTTTCATTTTTATTGTTGAAAAATGATTTGTCAATTGATGATTTGTTTATACATGAAGTCAAAACTATTTTGACCATTTGCAGATCAGGTTGAAATAAGGTTGAAATAAGGTCAAAACTGATTTTTACTATGTAGTTGCCTCAAGTCAAAACATTTCAACTTCATGTATAGTTATTACCATATTATCATCCTATAAAGTAAAAGAATAATAGTATTAAAGTATTAAAAAATATTTCAATAAAATATAATCACAAAAATAATTTTTAAAGCAAATAAAAATTTTTATCACCTTATTATTTTGGTCTTTGTTAATGTCATTATTACTAGCATTAATGATGTGTTCCTATAAGTGAAATAAATTATAATAATATTTTTTTAATGTTAATACCCTGTCTAATTTGCATTTATATAATGAAAATTAAAACATTTTAAGTAATTAATACTTTTTTTAAAATTTTGCTTTGATCAATTAGTGCTTCATTTTCCAACTTTAATGACTAAAAAAAATATTTAGAATTAAAAAATATTTTTGATTATAAAAATTAGAGTTGCCATTCAAAACTCCAGATTGTTTTAGTTTCAAAGGATTTCAATAAATTTTAAACTAATTTTTAAGTTTTGAAAGGCAATTCTAATAAAAAATATGCATTTTTTACACAAATTTTACATCAACTTCTTTTGTATAAAATAAAATCTATATTAATATAATTAATTATTATTTAAATATCTTTTATTTAAATGTTTCAAAAAACAAAAAATCAATATTTCAAAAATCATTAGCTATTTACATCATTTTTAATTTCTAATCCCTTATAACTTGTTAGATGTCCACCATTGTTTAAATAAGCTGAATATTTGTTTTTATTTACTTCAAAAGTAATGTTTTTGAGATTTTTGTTTGATTTATTAAATAAGAAGCTGAAATTCTTCTTTATTCACTTTTGAAATCAACAAAAAAATAGAAGCAATGTTTTTTCAAAATTCTATTGGGCAGGAATTAATAAATAAGTGGACATGTGTCACTGGGGTGTTACAAATTTCAGTAAACACAAACATAGTTGACTGGGGTGTTACAAATTTCAATAAACACAAACATAGTTGACCACACATATAAAAAATCATATGTAAGGATTTTTTATT